ATGTATTTAAATAAATAAGCTGTGTAGACTTTTTCACAGCTCTGTTCTTATTTCCAATATAATGAAATAGAAACTGCAATTTGATTTCATCTTTAAATGATCAATTTTTACTTCTGCATGCACACACTCCTTGGATTTGCTCTCCAAACAGAAGTGCCTGTCAGAGGCTGTAGTGCTCTGTGTGGTCATTCACAATGACTGCCTGAAGATTAACAGCTTTTATGTTTGATAGTGGGGAGACAGAGAAAATATGGATTAAAAGCCATGCTGATGCTGATACTTTAATCCACAAATGCATTCTGTGTGATTATTCATTAGATGTGAGGCAGGCCCTTCTGGATTTACATTATTACACCTCTTGGTTATGCATGTAAGTCTAAGCAACTCCTCTCTGTGCAGAGCTGGAGTCAAAGTACCTTGGGAAATTTAGGACCAACATTTTATTATATTTAAAAATCACTGCTTGCACAATCCAGGCCTTAGTATCAATAGCAGAGTTTTCAACTGGTCAAATTAATATACCAGTGCAAAGGACGGAGATATAAAAGGAGCTGCTTCATTTTACAGGGAGCATGTGACTGGAGTGTTTTTGTAGCAGCAAAAAGAGATAAACAAGTAAACAGTGAAGAGCCAGCTGAAATCTTTAATTTTCATTTTAAATGTTTACAAATGATTTAGGTAAGGACTTACTGGGAGTATGGAATTTATAATTAACTATTCCTGCTTTTTAGAATTGAGGAGCAGAAAACATGTATGGAAATACAGAGTTTTCAATGCAGGGAAGAGAGAATGAATTGGTTTCTTGTGATAAATTGCAGTGTCCAAAGTACAAGTTACTGTGTATATTTTTCATTTTCATGAATTTATAGAGTGTTTTGACAAAATGTGTATAACATCAATGTAATACAGGTAAAGAGAGAAAAGATGGAGTGATTACAAGGAAGGACACTCAGCTAAATATCATGTTTGGCTCTGAAGTGCATGGTGAAATTTTTGCTGCGTCTGTTTCTGAGTGGTGATTGCTGGTTGTTGCCCTTAAGAGAGTCCAGAGTGATCCCAGAAACATAACTCAGAGCTTAAATACGGCCAGTGTTGCAATACTGTCACTTTCTGAACTACTGTACCAATGAGGATAAGCTGTTTATCAGCAGGCTGAGTTTGCTGTTTCTTATGCTAACTGTTTGAGTTTCCATTTTAGTAATGGTCCTTGTGATTTGATTTATAATCATATACAACTTCTATAAAAAGAAGTTGAAAGATCCGTAAAGATAGTGTGAGACTGGTGTGCCTGAGGTGAATGTACATCTCTCTCTTCTCTGCTTTTATATGTGGGTGAGTCTGACTCCAATAAAAATCTACTTTCATGCTGAGTTGGCAAGGTGAACTAACTGTTCTGAGTGTGACTTTTTGACCTTGCCACGTTTGGTGTCCAAAAATCTTGAACCCATTTAATGACCTCTGACAGATTTTTCCCTTTGGAAAAGTGGTCAAAGTAGATGCAATTCTCCCTCTGAAAGGAAGCTATGTATATATGTATGTATAAGGACCTTCACCAGTGTTCGACTTCTGTTGTTAACATTGGGTCAATGTGTAACAGTGTAGACTCTGGTCCAAGTCCTAGGGTCATGTAGAGGTGATAGTAAGAGAACTTGAAGTCTGAAAGTAGAAGTGTTCTTAGTTTTGTAGGGTACATTAAAAAAAGCTTTTATTTTCTGTTTATTATCTCTCACCTCTTCAAAAGGAATGAACAGTAGGAAGAGTGTTGTTCTACAGTATGGTCATGCACACCTTCTCAGGACAGGTCCTCTGCTCTAGGGGAGGCCAGAGGAGTGAGCATCAGCATGACAATGTACACGTTATCTCTCCTTAATAATCACTACCTAGTACTTGTTCAGTTGTGAGTTAGAAGTGTAGAATCTGACCTGTGGTTCCTTATAGGTGAAATGAAATGATTGTTGTATAGTCGTGTGTTTAAGATGTAGGACTTGAGAGAAAAGGGGGGTGGGTAGGGCATGCAGCTGTCCCTGCTCTGCAGGGGCTGCTGGTCCCTGGGTTTGGCAGTATTTGACATCTGCCGTGGCAAGAACGTGTATTCTTCAAGCACAGGTATCAACAATAAATGATGACCTCAACAGCTGTGATTAGGTAAAAATATCCTCAAGAGTTATAAAAGTCTCAGAGATGGTAGTTTATGGCTGTTATTTCTGTCTGTAGTTCTGGGATGAAGATGGAATTGAGGTAGCAGTGTTTGCTGGGAAGCAGAGGTGCTGAGTATTGTGAGGCTCCTCTAAATGGTATCTACACGGATCATATATTTGAGAAAGGGATGTAATAAGCTGTGTTATAAGGCTGTAAGCAGACCACTAAAAGATGAGAAAAGGCTGGAGAACCTCCTGTTGAAGCAAATGAAGTAGAAGCAGCAGCTTGCTCACAGCAGAGCATTGGCTCAAGCTTGTAAGGACTAAAAAAGAAAAAAAATTGAGAAGAGCTTAGTGAGCTTACAGAAAAGTCTTGGTTGTCAGAGGCAAACGTAAGAGGTAACAGAAACTGATAATCAATATAGTAGCAAGGAGACTTGATTTTAAAGTTTTAAAGCTTTTTTTGGTATAAGAGTAAAAAGGACTAGATAAATAGTTCAGTCCTATTTATGTAGGAATGGAAGAAGCAGCAGTCAGGAGATGGGGAAATGCCAGAGTTCTTTTACCCAGGAGTTTAAGGAGAACATTGCAAATGTAAGGCAGAACAGCTGCTCTCCTGAAGAGGTTAAGTTGCAAGTGGTCTGTGTTTGCTAAGGGGTGGTAAAATGCAGAACTGGACAGCTGTGTGAAGGAGCAGGGTCTGAGGAGAGTGACCTTTGCTAAAATAAGAAGTTAAAGTTAAATAGAGAAGCCATCAGCAAGGATGAGAGTTGGCTGGGAATTCGGATGCTACAGGTCAGGATATTCTAGAAAAACTTGTATTCTCCTTAGGCTTTTCCACAATAGCAAATGTCAGCAGTGCTGAAGTGCTGAGCTAAAACTTAGGGGTACAAGCACTAGAGAATGTCATCACTCCCCAGTGGTTTGTTTCTCTAGAGTTTCTCACCTGTGCTAAAGTATGCGGTCTTTGAACATCAGTGGCTTGTTTTCCTCTGCTTTCTATGCCCTTTCGCTCTGTGGTTAATCTTTGAAGCTTTTCTACTTAGAAATGATGGATTTGAATTTAGGAGTGTGCTACAATCTCAGTGCAGTTCTTGTTTGCAAATACATTGCAGAGCCACTGAAGCTGTGGTTGATGCTTCCCCAGCAAGTCCCTGAGTCAATATCTCATAAAATTCTGTTTCTGGAACCTCATTATCTGAATTATGTGGGAAAGGATCAACAAAAATTATGGCAGTCATTGATTCAAAGAATATCGAGCTACATGTGTACTCTGTGTTATGACTACTGGAATAGATTAGAAGATGCAAATCTAGAAGTATTTGCAGGGCTTAAATGTTGAAAAGAGGAATTAAATACTTAGTTATGGCTCCTTCATAATATCTCAAGAGTAATGGAATGAAGCTAATAATGGATCAGCTTAAACAGTATCTAAGGAATTACTGCTAATGAGATAGTGCAGGTTGTGGAAGAGTCTCCTGAGAGGAATGAAAGCCTGGGCAGTTGGGTAGAGGTAATTCCTTTTAAGAAAGTCATTACAGGAAATGATCTTGCTTGAATGGGAAGGTGAGACTAGACCTGGCTGGCTTCTAAGCAGCTCCTGTGCTTGGCATTCTACCTCCAACCTCCTCTGCAGTGGTTTTTGTGCAGCTTTGTACACAGGAGAGAGAATAAATGCAGTCTTTACAATGGGATCTTGCTCTTTACGTGTATCAAGGAAGATGGATTAGGAGGGATAGTCCCAAGTGCAGAGCTTTATCCTTGTGTTGGTGAGCAGCAAAACTGGAGCAGACTTGCTGCAGAAGTAGCTCCAAGGAGTTCCAGCCAAATACTGGGTTCCCATGAATTGAAGAGTTAATCTTGCATAAACCATCAGAGGTCAGGAAGCCCAAATACAGCCTCTGCTTACATGTGCTTATTTTTCTGGCCTTTTCAGTACTTTAGTGCAAATGCTTCAAAAATTTTTCGAGGCAGTGGGATTTGTAACAATCACTACCTTGTTTCATCTGTCCCCCTCCCTGGTGCTGAAGAACAAAGACCTTCCAGTGCCAGCAGGGCCAGAGCACAGTGACAGTGTGGACACATATGGGGCAATGCAATTAACCTGGCCTCATTTACAGTTTGTAATACCCAAAACATTATGGTCTTAAGCATTTTGGACTTAAACCCGTAGTTTTAGAATAGCATTTCCCAGTTAACTTATGTCAGTATTATCAGACACGTTGCCAGGTTACCTCTGCATGTTAGATCACTGAAATGATGAGCAGTAAAATACATTCAAACCATGCTCCCTGAAACCAACAGAAGTAATGAGTGTCTCTGAATTGTAGCTTTCCTGATGCAGTGAAGCGAGAGAAAGGTGAGTCAGTTTGTTTCTCAGGCTTTGTTTATTTGAAATTAAGACCAGTTTTGAAATAAATGGGATTAGCACTCAGCTGTTTTAACCTGACTGAGCTCTTGGACTTGAAGACTCTTAGAAGTCTTAGTGTCTGAAAGGCAGGTATTGTTGGTAAGAACAGCTGACTGAATTGAAGAGCAAAGTCCTCTATTTTGCAGTAGCTGTGAGTACAAAGGCAGGGTTATTTACTGAGAGAGGGTTTTTCAGAGGTATCTAACAGAAAGAGCACGTACATGGCGCTTGGCATCTTAATTGCTGATGGGCCGAAGTTCTTACTGTTGAAGAGTCAGACACTTCAAATATTGACTTTATGAAGATTCTTCTCCAAAGAGTTTATATTGTGAATACAAAGCAATAGTGAGATGCAGAAGCTTGAAGTATACCCATCATTTTTCTGTATGCTTATACATTGAGAGATATTTGTACTTCAGATAACTGAAGTCACTTTTCATTCCAGATTACTTCTGTGTGTCTCAGTAGAGGAAAAGAACGACATATGAACAGCCTTATGGATTATTTGAGGGTCTAAAATATCCATGAGGTCAGGCACAATTTTTTTTTTTCATGAATTTCTAAATTGAGGACTTCCTGCCCCAAAAAAGAAGGGCACTGAAGGGAGACAGCGTGGTTTCTTTGAATCATGCTTTGCTGTACACAAGGGGTTAAGTCAATACTGTCTTTATAACTTAGAGTAGCAGGGATAAAAGAACAAATTGGAAGAAACAACATATTAAGAACAAAGTATCGTGTGGATTGAAATGCAGGATAAACTTCACAGTGTTATAATAGTTACAACACAGTTCCAGGGTGTCGTTCATATCAACTTGGTTGTGTCTGAGGTTATATTTTATGACACTTCTGCCAAAGATGGGCATTTGCTATATTTTCCTAAAGGGTAGCATCACAAATGCGTAAGAAGGGGGTTCGTGTGTGGCTGTCTTAAACTTCAGTTATGCAGGACTAGTTCCTGCTGGTAAGACCATTGCTGAACCTGGTCAGTAGGCAGGCAAAGCAGGAAAGTCGCTGTTGAGGTAGTCTGCAAATTGAACATGAAATCTTTTCCAGGTTATTAGGAGATCAGTGACCATGGCATGTGTGGATACAGTAACTTTAAGTTAGCTGTTGCTGATTTAAAAATTTGCTTATGTGGCTACCCACCTGACATGATCTGAGTTATTGGGAGGTGAAGCTATCTATAATATTATTAAAAATACAAATTTTAAAAGCGGGTCAGGTACATGATTTAATAAAGTCACCAATCTGTATTTGTTACTGTGAGTGTGCATAGTTTTCCCAAAGAAGCTGGATATCATTTGACAGAAGACAGCACAAGGACACCTGTATATTCATTTTCTGGGAGAGCCTTACTGCTGTAGATTAAACTGCTGGCTTCCAGTGTGGTTGGTAAAATTTATTCTTATGGCAAAAGGCATTTAATCTAGGCTGTCCTTCATACAAGAACTAATATGTGTGTACTAGTATATAAACTTAGGGATTATTTCTGTTTCATAAGATGTACAGTATTTCCCCTGTATCTGCATTCTCTGTCACTGGATTTATTGTTCTGGTTTCAGCTGCACTGTGGAGAAAATCCTGGGACTAGCAGAACTCTGTCTTTTAATTATTTGCAAAATTTGCCAATTTTTTTTTAAACTGGCATCACAGAAGGGAATGTGGGTATCATAATAAATCTGCAGTAGCAAATGTTTAAGATTCCCTTGATCACAGAAAACCTTATGCCCACATAAAATGTGCTTTATGACAAAATTCTCTTTTAAAGTACCAAATAGGTGCACAGTTTGTCTCTTAATGAGACACAGACACAATCTGATCCATAGGAAGCAGTTTCTTTTAACTTCAGTCCCCAGGAGTTTCATGTGCTCTCTTCTTGTCTGGCTGCAAGTGAGGTGAAACCAGAGAGCCGGCACAGCCCATCTGTCAGCCAGCCCTGGCTCATCCCAAGCTTTTGAGGCTGTTGGCCCATGTCAGACGGATTTGACAGCTTGGGAGGTCTGGAAGATAATGAAGATGTTCAGTCAGAGGCAACAGGCAGTTGTCAAAGAGTCTGCAGAGGCCTCTTGACTGAGGGGGAGGCTACAGCCCTTATCAGCCATCCCTGGATCCATCTACGATTCCCTTCAAACTGAGACTAAAGGACATGTGATTGCACTTGTTTTGGGTACAATGTGTAGTTTTACAATGTTAAGTTCTACACTACATTGGTGTAAACATGGCTTCAGCCATTTAATTATGGGCTTGTAGCCATATCAGTCAGCTCTGTGGGGTCACTTTGAGCTCAGGATATGCTGGGCTATTGCTCTGCCATGGAGACAGCTGTGAGTTTTATACCAGTAACTCAAACCACAGTGGATTCTCAGAATTTTGGGGTTAGATGAGATTGATTGACTTGTTCTGGTTTTAGTCTCAGACAACATTACATTGAAACTACTTGTTACTGATGGTTATGGAAAAAATTAACATAAAGAGTGTTAAGATATTTTATTTGCAGACCACCAGATTTATGTTTTTAACTGCATTTAGATATGGAAACACATTCTTTAAAAATGTACTTTTTACAAAATAATTTAGTAAGCATAGAAGAAGTTAAAAAACCCCTCCAAAACCAAACAAAAACCTCTGGATGGGAAAGAGAAATTGTGTGATACTTCATATTGCAACAATATTACTTTTCCTGTAGTTACAGAAAGTAACAAAGAATTTCTTGTGTAGGAGGGTTTTTGTTTGACCTTTTAAAGTGTGCAGTTGTATTGATGTTCCCCTCTTAAGAGTTACTCAGACAAAGGAGAGTGTTCTTGGTCTGTGTAATTCAGTGGGACATGAGGGCAAATATACAGTTACTATGTTATCCAGCTACTAGAAAATGCAGGGTTCTTTCTGTACCACGCTTTGTGCTTGTTTTTCAGTTAAATTTAGCTTGAATTCTCCTGGTCATTAAGCAACCTTCATTCTTTCACTTTGTGACCCCAGAAGTACACCTAGGTAGTGAACAAGCAGAGTGATAGAACAGGAAATATCTAACATTGTGTCTAAAATGTGAACATAAGAAGTAGGAGGCACTTTGCTGAAAAGAAAAACCTTTGAGCGTGAGTTGCTTTTATGAACACTCAGACTATGTTTTAGGGTGGTTGAGAAACAAAATCACACATCTGCTTCAATATAATCCTCTTCCAGTAGATTTTTCTTTAAATGTCTACAGTTAAGTGAATTTCCAAGAGTATATTTTACAGACCCTCTTTCTGTTTTGACACAGAGGTGCTCTGCAGGCAGCTCAGGTAGTGTCAGTGACCTTGGCTGTGCAGCCTTGGAGGTTTGCTGAAGTGATCTTTTGAAACAATATTTGGGAAAACTGGCACTTTCTGCCTGGTCCTTTTTGGTTTTCCCCTCCCACACCCCAGATGAATCACATCTCGTTCTTTCTATTCTCTTCTCAGAGTTTGACAGGTAATCACAACTGATTCCCATAATGTCAATTTAATAGAAATCATAATATCATGAATATTTAATGGTTTAGCTATCATAAATGCTCTAATGTCTGAATAATACTGAAAGGGTTCATAAAAAAAGCACTGTTTAAATAACTGAACTTTCCACTGAAAGACCTTAAAGGAAGGAACTTAAAGATAAACTTGGAAAAAGACCAAACAGATTTTGCATGTCAGTAATAGAGCTTTCTGTAAAGCTTCCCTTGTTGATTTATATTTGAGGTCACAGTGGTTTTTCATGCTTTTCTCCCTTCTTTCTGTGGGAGTATCTTCAAAAAGTCTTGGGGTGGGTAAGTGACTTAATGAACAAGGGTCATTGAAAGTTGCTTTGAAATCTGGAGATACTGCTAATATTTGGCTGTCTATGGTATGATTTCAGTTAGATGCCCATGGAGATGCAAAAACTGCTCTGGTCTTTGTCCTCAAAATAAGCAGGGAATATAAGGGAAGGAAAGAAAGAAACTTGACATAGAGGTATCTCTGTTGGAGCTTTTTCCATGGAGCTGCTACAGCTGCTGGATCATCTTCAGTTCGAAGCAGTTCTTCGCAACCCATGTGCCTCTTGTGAAGAAATTATTAAAACTTGGCCCAAGTAAGCCATTTAGCAAGTCAGTTACAAGACAAGGATACTAGTTCTTTTAATCTTATCTTGGTCCTAACATTGGCATTGTTTTATATTAAAGTGTCAGGATTATCTGAAGTGGTTTTTCTGGTGTTTTTTTCTCTGTTTTTTTACCTTTCCTCTTTTCATCTTGCAATGAATTGCTGGATGAGTAGCTGAATTGAGCAATAGTGGAGTTAATAACAGCACTAGACTGATACATTTCCTGGTGTCTGTGCCAAGAAACTTGCCCGCATGATCACTGTCATTTGGTTAAGGGCCATGGGATCACGGGTTATAGGTTTCCTTGCCTTGTGATTCTGGAACTCCACATGGTGTGTGAAACAGCAGGGAGAAGAGCCAGGAGGCCAGCTCTCAGTGCTGCCGTGTGAGCAGATTGGGCTTGGGGGGAAGCAGGATTTCTTAAATCATCAAAGCATTAATTGTGAACTATCTTTGGCAGTTGGACCCTTTATGTTGCTTTGTGATAGGGCTAGAATTTGCAGGGGGAGAGATTTGGCTTAGTGGTTGGGGCTGGTCTCTGGATGAGGGCTGGTGGTCCCTGTGGATACTGGAGGAGCAGCTAGTGCTGGAGGGTTCTCCCAACACTGAAGGTTCTCAGAAGGTTGCCCAACACTGCAATACAGCTGTTTACAGCCTGAACCTTTAATTAGGGTGGAACTTGTAATCAAAACTTTTTGAAAGCGATTTGGCCCCTCTGAGCTGCATTAAATGAGTGCCTGGAAATAACTGGCATCACACAAGCAATTGTTTTTTATGGGATGCTCTCAAACTCTTTTATGTGTACAATAAATTATGCTCAGCTGTCTCAGATTAAAATGACGCTTTAGCATTTGTTTCCTGTTAATTTTTTGTCACTTCTCTCTGGTTGGCTTATTGATTCTGTTCATAGTATTCCTGTATTAAATTGTCCTCTCCCTATCCCTTCTCCTACAAAAATGCAAAATTCTGTTTGTGAACTGTATTATTGGCTAGTGCTTTGCAAGGCCTTTTTTTTTTTTACTTTGAAATCCTTATTCTTTAATAATGTTTATTAATATTATCAGTGTTATCACAAAATTTATTACTGTAGACTTCTCAGAATTTTGTGTAGTTTGTATGTGGGTGTTGGACATGAAACATTTTGCATCAGTCTTCAATTATTGAGTAGCTTTAGATGAGTAATATGGAGAGCTGGCTTGGTCTGGGAAAGAAAGCACTGACATACTTTGCACACCTCAAGCATGAAGAAATCAAGATTAAAAAGCAATAATTCTGGCCAAACTTCTTCCTGCCTAGAGTCCTTTTAAGCTTCCTAGAGGAAGCAGGTTACAGTTTATATTTGAAACAGATTTTCATAGTAAGACTGACAATTTAATTGGGCAGATTACTTATTACATTTCTGCTGAGCAAATACCTACAGACAGGCAGAGACTCTGGAAGAAGCAGGATGAATGGCAGCCATCCACAGGCTGCATTATTGCAATGCCAAAATCTGTTTCCTACAAAAAAACCCCACCATTTGAAACTTCTCCATTTCCCTATTTATTATCTGTTGCTGTATTTTGGTATTTCAGTATCTTAAATGTAGATCTAATAATCATAAGGCATGCCTCAAATTTTTATCTGGTAGATCTGAATTCAGCTTTATAATTAATGCTATAATTATTACAGTTATATCTTTTATTAGCTTAGAAAATAACTTAATGTGTTGATATTTAATTAAGCGCTTTTATTTGCCTAATCTTTATTCATTAATTTAGATTTTAAAATGGGCTTTGCTTTTCTTTACTATTGAAAAAAATTTAATATCAACAGAGGATGGCTGTCAACTGGAGGAACACAGAGTTGGGTGATCTAGTGCGCCATGAGGAAGGAAATGTCATGCTAAATTCCTGAACTTGGATCTCCTGTTAGTGGGAAGAAGTTTCTTTTTTGAAATTTGGGCTGGTACAAGTGATTATCTAGTATTTGTTGAGATATTGTGTGATACAGTAAAGCAGCACTTTATTGCTTTAATTTTTTTATAGTTTTTTTATAAATAAAATGCTTTTTTTTTTGGTACTTTCCTCTGCTCCAGTGAGGCACACCAGTTTGTTAGGTGACTTGGCAGATGGTTTTGGGACAGGTGTGTCTGTTGGCATTTGGGGAGTGAAGTTTTGTGTGCTGTGTATCTTCCTCTTCTGGCTCTTTCTTCCATGTGCATGTTTTTATTAGCACAGGAGGTGTTTTGCTCACGGTTGTCATTCAGGAGCAGCCTGTATTGCTCTTATGAGTAGGGATAACAAAATCCGATTTCCAGAAAGCAGGTTGGAAAGTGCTGGTTTTTGACACTGAGCTTACAATTTTTTGTGATAGTTTTGAAAACAGTCAGAAACAGATGATGTGAAATAGATTCAAGTACATGAAAACACTGCTGCAGAACTGGATTTTTTTCTTCATGGAATCTTTGTGCTCTGGGAAGCAACAGAGTGTTGGTAGCAGAGCTTCTCCTCTGCGCTGCTATGATGCATCACAGCTCAAAAAATATGTTTGGTACCTTATCCGTAAGAGGGTTTTAAAATTCTAGGCTTTTGTGTTTTTAAACATTAGCCCCGTCTTCGCTAGAGTGTATGGGAAAGTGGGAACTGCTGCTACTGGAATGATGGTGAGAGACTGGGGCTTATCTTGTAGTGTTCTGTTTTCCCTTCCTTAGAGCCACCTAATTGACTTCACTGGGCTTTGGATCATGGTACCTCAAATTAAGAACAAACCACTTAATTGACTTGCAGAGTTCAATTTCTGAAGCGGGTTTCCCCAAGCTTCTGCTCTGTTCCTAAATGAAGGTACTTGGAGGCAAGCCCAAATACTTCAAATATATGCTATAGGAATAAGTAAACATTGGTCACAGCAATTAAAAAATGCAATAAAAAGTGAATTCATTTGATAAGTGACTGTGGCAAGCAACCTCATGGGTGGAAATATGACTGTGGTGTTTTATTTAACACGCTCAAGTCTTTTTTTTTATTTTATTTTTTCAGGGAGAAAGACCTCAATGCAAAGTTTATTATTTCGATGGAAAAAAATAAAACAACAATCACAAACTTAAAGGTGAGTAAACATAATTTAAAAAAGGAAGTTTTAACTGAGTAGCTGCCAAAATATGACTGGACAAAGCAATGGTGCTTACTGCACTGTGGAGAACAGCTCTTAGGTTTTAAAATACAGTGTTAAAACAATCTTTCTTTGGTGAAATAAACACCTGAAGAAAAGTACAAAGACCAGTGTTTACAGAGCCATAGTGCTGTCTACTCTCTTGTATGGATCTGAATCAGGGGTCATCTGCTGCCACCACCTGCGACTCCTGGAACGCTTCCATCAATGCTGCCTCCGTGCGATCCTAAACGTCCACTGGTCAGATGATGTGACCAACACATCTGTTCTAGAACAGGCAGCAGTTAGGAGTATTGAGGCCATGTTACTGAGAACACAGCTGCGTTGGGCAGGGCACGTCTCAAGGATGAAGGACCAACCACCCCCTCCCTAAGACCTTGCTTTATGGTGAACTTGCCACTGGCTGCTGCAAGAGAGTAGCCCCGAAGAAAAGATACAAGGACTTCCTGAAACAACAACATCTCAGCCTTGGCCATATTGATCACCATAACTGGTCTACTCTGACCTCCAATCGGGAAACCTGGAGACACCATCTGTAACGCAGCTGTCTCCTTTGAGAACGCAGCAGGGTCACCCTGGAGGAGAAAAGACAACGCAGAAAGAATTGTGCCTTGCTGAATATACCATCTAAGGAGTCTTTCTGCTGTGCCTTTTGCAACCAGACGTGCCTATCTCGTATTGGCCTTTTTAGCCACCAACGTGCTTCTAACAAACATGGGTAAAGCCCTTCCCAAATCTTCATTCGCGAAGCCCAGCCATGATGGTGATGACGATGAAAACAATCTTTCAGGGAGACAGGTTACACTGTTAACTTGCTGCACTGTGGTTGTTTGAAAACCACCCTACAGTCTGTATCTCATCAGTTTTTCAAAGGTTTATCACTCTGGTCATTATTGATTTGGAAGATGAAAGCCAACAATAGAAGAGGTATGTGCCTGATAGCTATTAAACCTTTGCTTCATGTAGAAAAAGTCTTCTGGAATTCCTGTGGAAATGAACCAAACCCAAAGTACCCATCACTTGATCTAACATTTTGATGGTATATTTTAACAATATACTCTCAGCAAGAGAAGTCACACAGCAAATTGGTTTTTGCAAGATAGTTTCCAGTGACAAATACCTGAAAAGAAATTTCACTGTGTACGAGTTTCAGTGTGTAGTTTGTTCAGACTGAGTTGGATCACAGTGTAGTATTGCAGAAGTGTAGTGCCAGCTGTCATGTCTTGAGCTGCAGGTGTGTAACACCATTTTAATTATGACTCCACCTTGAAGTGCTGTTCACAGTGCAAAGGTCTCTCTGGCTCCTATAAATTATATATTTAGGATAATCCCTGATTATAATAATGTCATATATGGAATTCATTTAACTGAATTTGAGTATTGTGACAAAAATGTACTGTGGTGGTTGGAGCAGAAAGCTAAAACACAAATTATTCCTGCGCTGTTTTGTGACTTGACTATCCTTCTTGCTGAAGGGTGTATCTGTTGCTAATTATATCAGTGCTGTTGGAATAATAGTCTGACCTGTCATCATAAATTTCTAAATGTGTATAGCCTCATGTTAAATTTACATTCTGATTATTTATTGTCAAATGTTTTTAATTACTTCATCAGCATGTATTGTACCAGCTCTTTTTTCTTTTTTTAATAGGTACCAGAGGGTGCTACTGGAGACACAGGACGAGAAAGAACAAAGACATTTACCTATGATTTTTCCTATTTCTCAGCAGACAGTAAAAGTCCCAGCTTTGTTTGTCAAGAAATGGTAGGATTTCTGAATGTTAATAATTGATCTTTTTCCTTTCCCTTTTCTTTGGCTTGAAATCATTCCATGAAACTTCTTTCCATTAAAAGTGCTTCTTGTGTAATTTAGAAATTCCTTACGTACCTGAGAGTTTGAAGTTCGCTTTGTTTACTTTTTTTTTTTAACTTACCTAACAATGTAAGTGCTGTGTTTTCTAATCCAGCAGACTAAATGCTTTCTTTCAAGTTCTCTTGTCTGATTTGTCTTGTAAGGTCAAGTTAGAAAACATCTCGGAGCACTGAATTTGGTTTTGAAAAACTTTTTAGAAAAAAATCACTTTTGAGCAACAAGCATATATCTTTGATTCACTTAGACAGAAACTTTCTTCTTATCTGATTGAAGTGTTTTTTTCTTTTTGTCCAAAAGTCTTGGTACACATTGAAGGAGATTCTTTTTTCTCCTTCCTTGAGCATTCAGCTCGGGAAAGGACAAAACTGTCTTTCTTCCTGCACACTCAGAAGAGAAAATCGTACTCAGAGCTATAGGAATTATTCAGATGAACAGACAGACCCTCCCTGACCTCTCATTTCATGTGAACATTGAACCTTTCTGCTGTTTGACATTCTCTAATAAATTTGTTAAATGAAATTCAAGTGATTTGTGATTGCTGTCTTCTCTTTTGGTTTTGGTGCTTGTAAGCTTCAAGTAAGAGTATAATGCAAGGGTTTGCTTCAATATCCTGTAAACCAGCTGGGTACCTACCTTTTTGGTATGTACTTCATCTGTTCTGTAACCCCTGAAATCAGGGATACTGTAATGGCTAATCCTAAAAAGGCTCACATTTAAAACTAATCATAAGAAACAATAAGTTGAAGCCATTTTTAAATATTTAGGAGAATGACAAGCTTTGCCATTATATATATATCATGACTATAATTGATAGGGAATTTATACATGAAATTTCTCTATTAACCATCACTTATAGTGGTATGTCCTCTTATTTTCTGTAAGCTTCTTTCTTATTTCACCAACTATTAGTTGATTTCATTCAAACGTTTGATCATGTATATTCTTAAACTTTTTGGATTGTTATTTCTTGATGATGTTCTTTTAAGTAACACGTTTTTTCTATATTTTCTGAAATATCAAGAAGTATACCTTTATTTGGGCCTTGATTTAGAACACCCTGATTACTTCAGCACTGTGGCAAATTGAAGTAATAATGTATTTGCATTCAATGATTGGAATCCAAGTTTCTAGTGAATGTTTTTAAGCAGCCATTTCAGACCATATGGCTTTACTAGAACTTTAGCAAATGCATTAAGTTCAACATGCAGAGAGGTATTTATTTATTCTAATTAAAACAGCTTTGATCTTGTATTTTTCTGCCTTGATTCTACCTGAAGCTTGAGATTTTGTTTGTGGTTCTACAGACGCAACAAATATTTGCCTTAAGTTTACTCATAGAAATTGATGAGTGTCTCAGCTTAATATTACCTAGTTTCATGAAAATGCACATAATTCTCAGTGGTAGCTGATCAGCATATTCTCAAATTCTTTCTGATATGGAGGAGCACATCTCCATAAAAATAGTTTTAATCATATATCAATGCTTATTTGCAAAAATCTGCAATATGTATTGTAAAAGTAGTGGTAGAAATTCTTAAGCAGCAATTGTGGCTTAGATTTATGGATATTTAATTCTTGGATCCTCTAGGTAGCTGTTTCTTTACCTCCCTTTAGATACTTCTAGAAAGTTATGTTAGACAAGACCTCATTAGAGGAAGCCCGGGAAGAGAGTCATTGTGTTGTTTGGCTCTTGCTGTTACAATGCAAGTTATTTCCAGAATCTTTGAAACAATGGAGTTAATTCTTGTTAAAACAACAAAGGAAAATTGAATGCATACAAATAGATATCCAAGTTGTATCCTGTGCTGATGTCCAATTTCCACATATAAGTGATAAATTAAATTTCCCTTTTCAAAGTTTTTCCTTTTGGTACCATTTTGCCTCTGTTTCAGAGGGGGTCAGGTTAAGGAAAGACCAGTATAACTTGTCTGAGTCTGGAGTCTATAGAAAAAAAATGAATTAAAATACCCATATAGGGATGGCTGCAGCAGCCTTGAGCCATGATTTCTTTAAAGCTGATTAGTAGTGATAGGATGATAACAATAAATCCTAAACATGGCTTAGATGTCCATGTTCAATATGCTGCTGTTAGTGTGTCCCACAACCCTGGACCACCTCCTTCATCCTTACTGCCAAGAGTGTGAACTTCTCTTGCACCCACATAAATATTGTTGTTCAAGTACTGCTTTAATTACAATGTGTGCAGCACATTGAAAATAAAAGTTTTTAAACCATAGAAGTCCAGTTCCTAAACAAATGCTATGCAAGCTATTGTTTTCTTGTGTTATTAATTTTATATTTAATTGAAAGACTTTGTAGTTAAGCTCTTATCAAGTTGCTGCAGAATTTCCAGTTTACTGCACCAATGGCATAGGAGAAGGGCATCTTTCATTCACATTCATCTTGCCATGAAATCAAATTGATCTTGGTTGTTGGTAATGCAGTTGCCTGGTGCCCTTTTTTCACGATTGTTGGACTTTTCCATTTGAAAGGCAGAAAAATAAATGAAAATCTGTCTAATACCACATGCCCCATTAATGTGCCTTGTAGATGCAAAATATGCCTTAGTATTCAAAAATTAAAATGGGGATGGCAATTTACCATCAAGCTTCTTAGTGTTCCTGACAGAGAAACAAATAGAATTTTGACATTCACTGCCCTTTTGTGACAAACCAGTGTCCCATCCTAACTGTCTTTTCTTGTAACCTGTGTGTTAAGCCTTTGTGTTTGGACAATATTGACTGTAACTATCCTGTGTACTACCTCAAATCACTTTGCAAGGTATACATAGATTTTTGAAAGGGAAAATTCAGTCAAAACAGTAGTGCATAAAAGCTTGGTCCAAATGGTGAGGTAACAACTTGAGTATAGTGAAAAAGAGGGGAAAGAATAAAGGAGCTTTGGCTGATCTTTATACTCTTTCTCTTTGAGAAGTGTAACTGGTTACAGCATTTGAACTCCTTTGCTCAAGGGAAGGTCAAGTGAAGTATTCCAAAGGCATGTTTGCAACTGAGGATTAGTGATTAAGGAAATTACCCAGCATTCTTTCCAGGGATAGGCAGCGTGATTATACTGTGTGTGTGCAATTCACTATTAATAATGGCTTGTTCTCCTTGGCTAATTTAAACCACACATAGTGCAGATGAGTAGCCAAACTGTGTGAACCATCTATGAGTTCTTGAAAATCATGTCTAGGTCGGGAGACACAGACTTATATTGCGAGAGAAATGCTGCACCGAGTGTTGCTCCTTGCTCAGCAGACCAGGGAAGGGTATGGTTCAAAAGGAGGGGTAATGATAATGAAAGGTCAGGAATCTGTAAGGGATATTGGAGCCAGTATTGCAGAGGAAGGTGGTGAAGGCACCTGGTGAGAGCTGAATCTAATAGGTGAGAACAGAGTCCCAAATTATGGGATGTGGAAGAGGGATTGTTACTAGTTTTTACATGTTGAGGGCAAAAGAGAAGGGATTAACTGATGAAAGAGAAAGCGAGTTTCCATGTTTGCCAACCTAAAAAGTATTGGTATGTAAAAACCAGTTAGGAAGGAAATACAAGAAAGGCCATATTCTTATACTTGATTAGAGCAAAAAACCAAAACCAACCAACCAAAGTCCTCCAAAAAGACAAACAAGAAACTGGCAGGATCACTGAAATGTTTCCTTTTGAGAAGGGACTGCATAATTGCAGAACATGGAGAGTTGGCAAAGATACAAAATGTGAGTAGGTATTAACAATAAGGGAAAGTGAATGAAGTGGCTGAGATTGCTGAAAGAAATTGGAGCTATACAAAAAGCATTTTTTTGTTCTTTGGAATGCAAGTAGATCTCTGACAGAAAAAGAAGTAAAAAATAAACTACTGCAATGCTGTAAAGTAGATCTGGTAGTGAGACTTAATATTTTCTTTGAAGTATTAATTTCCTCTCCTATAGTAAACATCACTGGAGTTTGCCATTGTATTGCGGTATTGTTAAAGATTTGTCACGCTGGACTGATGACAATTTTTTTTCCCCAAGCTTTCATTGACTTAAAAAACTTTATTTGTTTTTAGGTTTTCAAAAATCTTGGTATGGATGTGCTTAAATCTGCCTTTGAAGGTTATAATGCCTGTGTTTTTGCATATGGACAGACTGGATCTGGGAAGTCCTACACCATGATGGGAAATGCGGTAAGTTGTATTTTCCTAGAATCTTAGAATACCAGATTGAAAGGCCCTCAAGGATCATCTGGTCCAACCTGTTTTGGCAAAAGCACAGTTAAGATGGCCCATTACCCTGTCCAGCCAAACCTTACAAATGTCTATTGTGGGGGAATCCACCACTCCTCTGGGGAGATAATGATCTTTGTGGGTCCCTTCCAACTTGGCATATTCTGTGATTCTGTGATTATTTCAGTTGCTGATTGTTCTCATGTTCAATCATATTCTTCCCAAGAGTAACTTGTATCCATTACCACTGGTCTTTTGCATGTGACTCCTTGTAAATGGGGAGTTTCCATATTCTTTGTAGCCACGCTTTAAATACTGGAACATGGTTATAAGGTCTTCCCTGAGCCTTTTCTTCTCAAGGCTCAACAAACCAGCTCTCTCAGCCTTTCCTCACATGGCAGCTTCCCAGTCCTTCGGTCATCCTTGTGGCCCTTCTCTGAACCCTCTGCAGCCTGTCCACGTCTTTTTTGTGTGGCAGAGACCAAAGCTGAACACAGTATTCAGTTGTGGCCTGACAAGTGCTGAGTAGAGTGGGATAATGACTTCTTTATCTCTGCCCTTGTTGATGCAACCCAGCGTGGGCTTCTTTGCTTTCTTTGCCACACTATTCACTCATATTGTACTTACTGTCCACAAGATGCCCAGGTCCCTCTCCATAGAGCTGCTTCCCAGTCAATAGATCCTGGATTATGTTTTCCCAGGTGCAATAGCTTACATTTGTCTTTGTTGAACTTCATAAGATTCTTGTTAGCCCACTATTCCAGCCTATCCAGGTCTTCCTGCAGGGTGGGTCTCCCTTCTGAAGTGCCAACTTCCCCATTCAGTTTGGTGTCCTTGTCAAACTTTGTCAGGATACACTTGAACCCATCATACAGGTTATTTAAGAAGATATGTCAGACCCAAAATTGGTCCCTAAGGGACCCCAATCGAGACAGGTTGCCAGTTAGAGAAGGAGCTGTTTCTCACCACCCTCTGGGTGCAGCCTGTCAGCCAGTTCCCACCCACCACACAGACCCCTTGTCTAGATCATAATGCATCAATTCCTTTAGGAGCAGGCCATGGGAAGCCATGTCAAAAATCTTGGAGAATTCCAGGTAGACAATGTCCACTGCTTGCCCCACATCAACTGAACAGGTGTATTTTTTTATTCTGTAGCTGTGAATTAATATTATGTTATTGCAGGAGCATGTTTTTATGGAATTATTAATACTGCTGTCTGTGTGCTTCTGACCCCCACGTATCACACCTTCTAGTAGTAATCAGAGTCTTTAGAAGCTCTTTCTTTTATAGGAAGATATTACAGTTGGAAGAAGTCTATTTAAGTAATGCTCATTATTTTGGACAAAACCCAATAATTTTTGTTCAGTAACAAACCTCAAAATTTCAAATGTTACTGCTGATTTTCTATGTCCAGATCAAGACAAAAAAAAAGATACTGATTTTTTGGGAACATGAAGGACCAGCTCTTTCTGAAGAGATGTGCTTTTTAGACCTCTTTTGAAGAGAGAGAAGACTAAAATAAGTCCTTGACCCCTGTTTAGAGAAGGCTTTCGGGTGAGGAACAGAAACTGGGGATGAGAGTATTTCAGCACACCCTTATGAGACGATACAGTAGTTTTAATTTTAAGGATTAAGCCCTGTTGAGCACTGCAGTGAAGACCCTGGAAGAGGAAGGTGTGATAGGAGGAGTATTTCGTAGTTTATGAGTAAAGGATGGGAGTGGTTTCTTGCAAATGCCTCCATGACTGTCCAAGGAGAGAGAGAACACACTAAACTGTTGGGAGTGGAGCAGTTTAAAAAGGCTGACTGATGAAGCCTGTTTGCCAGGCAGCCTCTGCAGGTTTCATTCTTTAGTCCTTGGGAGAAGAAATATATTGTATCTTCTCCCGGTAGAAATGAAAAGGGGAATATTGTCCTTCCTTATATAGATCACTCTTCTGAAATGTGGTAAGATTGGGCACTTCGCACCTCCTCTAGCTTAGGAGAGTAAATTAGCTGTAAATCTTTTTCTTTCAGTTGCCACAAAATAAGTAGCTTTATATTTAACTTCAATATCGTAAGCAGAATAGATTTTTGTAACCAGAAAAGATGTTATGACCTAGATGTGGATTTCTATTTCAGAAATTTATAAAAGTGACATTTTTATGAGACTACCTCACTATATGTAATGACTGTAATCATCAAGACATTTTGCAAATGAATAGGTGCTGAAGTTTGTTTGACATTATTCAATAATAAAGGTCTAATCTTCTTGCCATGATACATAAATACTTTAATCTGGCTTTGTACAGAGCGCATATAAAATATAGTCAGCTGGCAAGTTAAATGCTTGAAAATTGATGGCCCTGTCAGAGAGACTACAGTGCTATAAGAAAACTTGAATTGGAAATAAATATTCTTTTTTCCCTGCTTCTCTTTAAAAAGTCTAGAGTCTTTAAAAAGTCTGGATTCTATTCTCATTTTGCTTTCAATATCTGCTGTTCTCGGTGCTGCGAGACTTCTCCTGCAATTCTGTGTGCAGTAATCACTTCAAGAGTTATTCTAATGGGTCTACATATCTCTTGAGCAGAGATACTGAAGTGAACAGAGATCTATAAAATATGATCTATCAGGAAAGTCAGACCTGTGTATACAGAGAAGGGAAGACTATGAGGGAATAAAAGTCTCCCAAGACATGAAAGGCTACTGCAGAAAGGAAGGGAATAGTTTGTTCCCAATGGTCAAGGTAGATGGGTAAAAACCAGTACATTTAAACTGCAGTAAGAGTTTTCTGGTTAGGTAGCACAGAAGGACAACAGGCTTTTAATGGGAAAATTCAACTCTGGATGAACTACCTATTTTGGTTCTCCCGATTTCCATGTCTGGAAACTCTGTAGCTCAGAAAGAAAAAAGTTTAAGATGTAGTTGATCCTGCCTTGGAGATGTAGGAGGTGAAAATGGAGAAAATGTTTAAGTATAGTTTCTAATAAAGAGCGTACATTCTATAAATTGTACCTTGTACTGATACAATATTCTGGGAACTGTGTGTTCTTCTGTGGCAGTTTGAGCCACATTCGAAATCTAAAATCCAATTTTTGGGCTTCCCCCACCCCTTCTCAACAATTTATCCTAACACTGGAGAGAAACTTTCAGGCCAGAGGCTTCCGTAGGGGAAGGGGGAAGTATATACATTTATTTACACAAATAAATACTATACAAACTAAAGGCAACTATATATATATATATATTACATTACTATCAGTCAGTCCTTTCAAGCCCCTTTAAGGCTGATATGTAACAGTCTGCCGTGGGAGTGTTCCAGGCTCCTGAACACTCCCCTCTCACCAAGTTCTAGTTGTTTGTTGTAGTCTCTCCTCCTCATGAAGTCCAACAAGATAGCTTTGAGTCCTTGCTCTTCTGCTGTAGTGATTTCTCCCTCTCAGTGTCTCACCTCGGTTTGTAGGCTGCTGCAGTGCAGCTTATTAAGCGTCCACATCCTGGAATCTTCCTTTCTCCACATCAGTTCTCAGCTGCCCCCGGTCAGCTTTGGCAGCAGCTCCTGAGCTCTTGGCTCATCTCCAGTTTTGCCTGGGACTCTTCTCCCGAGCACCAAGCTGATTTATCAGCCCGTCCACTTGGCTCTGCTCAAGTGCTGAGCCTTAAAATCCACCCCCCACCAGCCTAAACGCAGTGGGGGAAAAAAGCCCCCCCTACAGCTTCACTGCAGAAAAGGAGGGGGAAGAGGGCTTGGCTGCAAAGCCTGCCTCTCTCCTCTTACCTCAGGGGCTGTGAATCTCTTCCTTCACAGCACACACTCCAAATGCTGACTCTAACTCTAGCCAAAGGCTGAGTTGGGGGGTTGCAGGGCTCCCCTCTCCCCGCCGGAGGGGAAGAGAGGGAGCCCAGCCACCCCCTGGCCTTGTCCACCTACACACAGCAGACAGCAACAGCAAAACAACCAAGACTGCACTGCCAACAGCTTCCGGTGCTGTGATATATGATTTTGAGCAGAAGCAAACAACAGGAGTGGTGATTGGCTCTCCAGGGAACACTGCCCTGGCACCCAATCACCTCTGACCCCCCCCAGCCTCTCAGGGGGGCCAATTTCAAACTATGACATCTTCCTTTCTCATCACTATATTGCTATGGTTGAAGTTAATTAGAGCTAGTACTTCATATTTTAAGCAGTTGCTAAACTATGTCAGGCACTAATGATTTGCCTAAAACTTTGTGATAGATCTTTCATGTATTTTTCCTTAAGCTTTAATTAAAACTATTCAGGTGTTTCCAAGCACGAGATGAAAGAAAAGTCTTTTTCCTCTTCCTGTGTTTAAAAAAAATTAAAATAAAACATATGTGGGAATTTCCGACACCAACCCCTGAAACTTTACCTGGAAGTAGAGATTGATAATTGATACATATTGGGAAAGGCTCCTCCTCTGTTGCCAAAGGCAACTGTCTCAAAAGAAAAGCCTGATTATTCTGCAAGTTTCTCCCTTTATCTAGGAGTTGTTTTTTTTATTTTAACCCAAGGTGCTGTCATCTGAACAGCTAGGTATGAGAGGAGGAGAGAAGATATTATTATGTCAAAGAATGAAGGCTGGTTTGAGAAAGACAGCGAGGCTCTGATTAAAGGAGGAAGAAGTTGGAAAAGGGCAAAATGGAGTGGTAGAGTATGATTAAAAAAGAAGTGACTGAATGATAATTGGAAATTATATCTAGGCAAAGGAAAGAGAAAGAGGAGCTCAGAGATGGCACCTGGAAGATGTTTGCTGGGACAGAGAATGAGGACAGAGGGACTAGTGTGGGAGCAGACTGGAGTGAGCTTTGGCAAAAAGGGTTGGATTTCATGTGGAGGTCCAAGTAGAAGAGAAATCTTTGCCCAAGGAACACTCGCCCTGTCAGAGTCTGGTGCAGGGGAGTCCACTGGCTTCGTGTTGTCCTGCTGCCAGTTCCCTGTAGAATCCCACCAGGCAAATTCTTAGATGCCTGGAGTGCCTGGGCTGTGTTCACATTGGATGTGTGGTCTGGTTTGCCCTAATTTGCCTCCTGCTTAATTACAAGGCCCCTGACTCAAGGCGCAAGAGCATTTCTTGCCTCAGCAGTGAATAGAATTAGAATTAGTCCATCACATCAGATCTCTTACGCATTTTTAGACTGCAGGCAAATTGTATCTGACAGACTGTTTTGTAAGCTGCTTCTGAGGCTGGAGCTCTGAGCCCAAAGCTCATGTGTATGTATATGTCCTCTCCCTTTATTCCTGGGAGCCGTGGCTCTGAAGGAGTAGCTGTGGCTGTCCTGAAGTGATGGGAATGAGGTATGCTCAGCAGGTAGTTGGTCATCTACCTCATCAGACTTGGTAGGAATGGGGCAGCTGGGAGCATGTGGCCCCTTGTCAGATGAGACCAGAACTGCATGGCCCTCTGCTGCTCCTCTCTGCTACTGGGAAAAAGCCTTGTAGCTTACTGTTTGGCTGGAAAGGGCACTCCCTGGAGCAATGGGAAGAGGAGAGCTCCATGCTAAGTCTCTGGGTATCTCAGTGGTAGCTGCTGCCTGCAGTCTGACGTGTTTGACATCAGTGGTGGAGCAGCAACCTCACTGGGAGGAGGCTGAATTCTCCAGTGCCAGCTTAACCAAGAAGCTGACATCCTGCTGCTGCTGTGTTAGTTGAAGTGGCAAGGACCCTGTAATGGATAGTTGCAGCCCTGCTAGTAAACCACAGTCTGTAGGGAGCTGTGAGAAGAAATAGTTTTTTTCAGATTGCTTTCTTAAACCAACCGAGCACTTCATGGATAAAAACCCCCTCTTTAACTGCAGAGTCAAACATTCAGAAGTTAAATATCAAATTTAATTTAGCAGCATTGTGGTATACAGTGAATGTAGGTTAAATTTTGTTGTTGTGTGCTAATTTATCCAGAGGATCTGCTGCTTCTTTCAAGACAGGAAGGACTGTGAGCTGGGGATGGGGGTGTTGAATGAAAATGGCTCATGTATATGGCTTGTCCCATTCTCTGCAGTTGTTGCCAAGTCCACAGAGAAGCAGTTAGATAAGATACTAGTGAGATAAGGCAGTTCATGTGTTGCTATGAGGAGCCAGTTTCTGCCTTGGTTTTGGATTATTCAAACTGAATGAGAGGGACAAAACATATTGCAATAGCAAAGAAATGGAGCTAGTGTATACATTCTGCACACACAAGTGTTAAAGTGGCAAGCTGACTGCAATTAAATAACAGGCAAGGGAGTATTTGCTGAAAAGTTTTGATATTCCCCCTTTTTCTGGATGCTGAGACTCTCAACTTGTGACCTTGAGTTTTACTTTTCCAAAATATATTGTGCATGCATATATGACCTTGGAAATAAGAATGGTTGTTGTTGCAGGGTGATGCAGGTTTGATACCTCGAATTTGTGAAGGATTGTTCAGCAAAATAAGTGAAAAAACAAAGCGGAATGAGGCATCCTTTCGAACAGAAGTCAGGTAGGTCTTGGCGTGTTAGCAGTTCCCAGGTTATCAAACTTATTTCAGTTACAACCACCCTGTTTCACTTTATCTCTGAGAAAAGTGTGTGTTCTTCAAAAATAACTTTCTACGCTTGGCCTCAGTCCTATAATTGATTTTTGTTGGCAGTCATAGTCCAAATGCACAGCACTTGTAACTTCAACCCAAGAGCTGAGCATTTTGCTTCATTTAAATGACAGTGAAAATTTCTTTGCTACTGGACAACATCTTCCTTATTTTTACCCTTTATTTCAGACTGACATTAGGAGATCTTGATCTTGCTGATGTCTGCTTCCTTTCCACTTGCTTCTTGCTTTTTTGGCTTTTTTCCATCTGATATAATAAGTTGTAGTCATTTCTATCTTAAGCCAGCTTTGGATCTGTTTTCTTTCTCCAAACCTCTTGCCTTCAAACACAGTGTTCACGTGAGTTTCCTTTTTTAACGACTCTTGAATCAGTCAGTGGCTTTTTATTCTTTCTCTTTCAGTTATCTGGAAATTTATAATGAACGTGTGAGAGATCTTCTCAGAAGGAAGTCATCAAAAACTAATAATTTACGAATACGAGAACATCCAAAAGAAGGACCATATGTTGAGGGTAAAAACACTTTCAGTGTTCTACGCTGGATATTTTATTACCTTCATATATTCTAAAGTGTGATGTCTAATTGCATAGGGCATTTTATCTTTTTAAATATAAATGATGATCAATACAGTGCTTTGCTTTGGTAAAAAGCATGAAAGGAATAGCCTCTCATTTTGCATCTCTACTTGCTTTCACAATTCTAATATTATTATGTAGGTTTTTTACCTATAAATTTATAACATTTTAAAATAGTGTTAAGAGATGCAATTGGTTTTAATAGTTTGTTGACTATAATTTATAAATATTAAATGTTTAGGAACCTATTAGGATCTAATTGTCTTATTCTGTTCTCTACCAGGGAAGGTTCATGTCTCTTGTGGGATTATGCTCATGTTATTGTACTAAATAATTTAGTAAGATTGCATATTTTTTTCTTATTTACTATAAATGTGTGAGTTGTCTGCTGTTCACATAAGGCCTCATTTCTTTCCTTAAGTGACAATTGGAGCAATACTTTGCAGTAGTGAGGGTAATTTGAATCTTTTTGTAAAGTAAAATCGAATGCATGTATTAGCACACTGTAACACTCTGCTTTTCTTTAGACTTGTCTAAGCATTTAGTGCAAAATTATACTGATGTAGAGGAACTTATGGAAGCAGGAAATATAAATAGGACAACGGCTGCAACTGGAATGAATGATGTCAGTAGCAGGTCTCATGCCATTTTCACAATCAACTTCACTCAGGTAACAAAACAAAACGAAACTCCCTGGAGAGATTTGACACATTTCCTCAGAGCATAGTGATCTTTTTGTTTATATGTAGTAAACTCCTTTTCAATGACTCCTGCTCTTCATCATTGTTTTTGGGTGTGCTTTTTAGACAGTCCATGGATAACCTGCTGGATGCAGAGAACGCAGCATAGAAGCGGTTCCCTCTCCTGTCAGAACTTTGCCTGTCTCCACCCAAACACACAACACACACACACACAAACTCCCGTGCACCTTCTGTTCACTAATGATGAGTTGCTTATTGCAAAGCTTTCAGAAGAGGATGAGAGGCAGGCAGCAAAAGGTTTTGTTCTATTGTTGTACTGCGAAAGTAGAAGGACGTTTGAAACAGGGCAATCTCAGTTGATTTGTCTGAAATGAGATAAAAAATTAGGAGGAAACCTCAGTTAAAAATATAAAAAATTGCAATTGTCACTTGGAGGTGGAGAAGAAATGGAGTGTAAATGTCTGTTCATGCTATAACTTGTTGAAAGCTAAATATGAATATAAATGTTACAAGCTTAATGAAATGAATGCAGCACATGTTCATTGTGCATCATGTAAATTCCAACTCAGTGTCACTGCTTGTCTGTAAGTGGCTACAAAGTTGCAAATATTACAATTTAAAGAAATAATATGGAAGTTATACAGCAATTCATTTTCAAATGCCTTTCTCTGGCAACTCTAATACACCCATCTTCTGAAGCTCTGCTATTGTAAATAAGTTAAATTCAGTTGTGTCATGAAAAAGGCCACTTAATTGGATTTAGTAAAATTGCAGCATTTCATAGCTTAACATACTTTTCTTTGTTTGTTTGTTTTTTTCTGTAGGCTCAATTTGATTCTGAAATGCCTTGTGAAACTGTTAGCAAGATTCATTTGGTAGATCTTGCTGGAAGTGAGAGAGCAGATGCCACTGGTGCCACAGGGGTTAGATTAAAGGAAGGAGGGAATATTAACAAATCTCTAGTTACTCTGGGAAATGTAATTTCTGCCTTAGGTGAGTCTCCAGTTTTTGTGCTTGTCTGTCTTGAGGTTTTTTTAGTCATGAAATACCTTTCTGTTTATTTACTTACACAAATAGTGGCCTAACACATACTGGTTTTGAAAATGAATAAAAATACATAATTGCTTTTTTTCTACCTCCACATCACAGCTGATTTATCTCAGGATGCAACAAATCCACTTTCAAAGAAGAAGCAAGTATTTGTGCCTTACAGGGACTCTGTGTTGACTTGGCTGTTGAAAGATAGCCTAGGAGGAAACTCTAAAACTATAATGATTGCCAGTAAGTGGTTTTAAATTACTTTTTTTGCATTATAAACAGTTCGTGCTTAATAGGAGTGTCTATAAATATTTAGATTCCAGATGTTTTGTTAAGGCAGAACATTGTTTGCACATATTAATGGTTTCTTTCTTTCTGAGCTTTCTGGTAACACTCTGTCATTACTTACACTCTTTAGAGTGTAAGTAAGGCTTTGTGCATCCAGTCAGTACTAATTTGTGAATCAGTTTGCTATTCCAAACTGTGTTGCTTTTTGTTGCATTAGTAGCAGAAACAGCCTATTATCTTTTGACATTCTGTGGGGAGGACTGTCATTTTTATTTACTTTACTGAATGCACACAGTGTTTTAACTTTTTGTCTAAATTTAATTATTTATGATCAGTCATCTTGCAAACTTCTCCTTTTTACCTGTAGGATGCTCTGTAAGGATCCTTTGGTTTAAAACCCTACCTATGACGTGTATTGCAGGTTTGTCAACAAATTGAAATGGGAATTCCATTCCCAAAACCCCCAAGTGAAGCCAGGAGGATGTTTAAGGGCAAGAGAGGATGTTGGATGTTGGAGATTGTGGAATCACAGAATGGTTTGTGTTGGAATAGATCTTAAAGATAGTCTAGTTCCACCCCTCCTGCCATGGGCAGGGAAACCTTCCGCTAGACCAGGATGCCTAGAGCCCCATCCAACCTGGCCTTGAACACTTCCAGGGTGGGGAATCCACAGCTTCTCCGGGCAACCTCTTTTGGTGTTCCTCCTTGTCCTATCACTATCTACTTGTGTAAGAAGTCACTCTTCCCCTTTTTTATAAGCCCCCTTTAAGTACTGAAAGGTTACAGTGAAGTCTGTCTGGAGCCTTCTCTTCTCCAGGCTGAACAACCCCATCTCTCTCAGCCTGTCTCCATAACAGAGGTGCCCCATACTTCTGATCAACTTCATGGCCCTCATCTGCACCCAGTCCAACAGGTCAACATCTTGTGCTGAGGACTCCAGATCTGGGTGCAGCACTGCAGATGTGGTCTCACAAGGGCAACCTAGAGGGAGAGAATCACCTCCCTGGACCTGCTGTCCCCACTGGTTTTGATGCAGCCCAGGATGCAGTTGGCTTCCTGGGCTGCAAGCACAGAATGCCAGCTCATGTCCAGCTTTTCATCCACCAAAAAGAAATCCCCAAGTCCTTCTCCACAGGGCTCCTCCCAGTGAGTTCTTCTCCCAGTCTGTACTCATGTCTGGGATTGTCCTGACCCAGGTGCCGCACCTTGCACTTGGACTTTTACCTCATCCTCCCTTGGGACCACTTGCCAAGCTTGTCCTGGTTCCCTTGGATGTGAAGAGAAGAGCAGCTCTGAAACTTCTCTCTCACTTTGCTGCTCAAGTGAAACATGGTCTCAACTGATGCAGTCCTCTTTTGGGGAATGGTAGGAGAGCAGAAATGAGGGAATAAAATGCATCACATCAAATTCTGTTTCTTCAGTCACTTTGCTACAGTCAAATTCTCTGGATAGCAGTTCCGTGTTGCATGACTTTGGAGATGTTTTTGGAATCCATGCCACTTCTTTTCCTCAGGCTAATCGTAGTAGTGCCAACAGAAGATCTGGACCAGACTCAGCTTTGCCTTTCTGGTTGTTTAAGTAATGCTGTGCTGGCAACTTTCTTCTTGATGCTTTTTTTGCAATTACATGGTTGAGTAACTTTTTTTTTTTTGACACAGGGATTGGGAAGAGAAGTTTTAGAAACACAGTGAGCTTACAGTGCCTGTACTAATGATTACAGTGCCTAGCTTCTTTTTCAGCTACTTCCCCATCTATTAGTGATGCCTCTGTGAGGCAGAGCCCTGATGGTTGATCTTTTCTCCAGCAGTAACTCTACTGGTAACGTAGCTGAATTGCCTAACAGAGCCTGACAAGCTGTCTGGATAAGTTTGGCCTGCCTTTTCTGTAACTAAGCACAAAAACATGCAGGAAGATCATTTCAAACTGTAGAAAAGGCTGTTATAAAAATACATCCGATTCTGATTTGTCATATTTCTATAACGTATTGTAACATTCTTCCAGAAAGAGAATAATTGAGTAGTGGAGAAGAGACAGTAGATAAAGCAAGGAAGTGATAGTGTGAGCTAGGGGAAGTGTAGTCTGTTGCCAGGTGCATCTCCCATAATTCAGGGAGTCTCTGTGACAAAAAGAATATTTGTTACTGTTGAGAGAATGAGAAAAGACAGAATATTTTAGTTACTTGATTATTTTTTCGGATGTTTTCATTGCCTGATTCTCTGAGTCTCTTGTTCAGTTTGATCATTAAGATTTGTGGTCCCTCATCATTTCTGGATGGTGTTTGCTTCTGTGTTTTTGCTCATATATTTGGATGCAGTCATTATCTTTTTAATTGGGAATACCCTATATATTGTTAGGAAAATTAAGGGAAGGATAGCATTTGCACTTTCATTTAAAGTTCTTTGTTTTTGCTGGTTAGGTTGCTTGTAAAATAGTATTGGTTTCTCTTGATGCATCAGATAGTTAACAGTTCTGTGTGCTGCCAGATGTGTGCGGCTCAGCAGAACAGCAAGGTTTGTAGATTATAGAAGCTCTTGTTTTGGTTTTCATGTCTGTTTTCTGTTTATTTATGTTTAATTTTCTTTTTAATTTCCCTTTAAAAGGACTGAACTCACTGTGTTTTACATGCAATGTTTTTTCCATTCAATGATTATATTGGTACTTTTAAAATACTCAACATTTTTCACATTGGTATTGTAAAAAAAAGAAAAGCCTGTGAAGTATTCATATAGGACATTTATACTTACCAGAGAAATGTTCAATAGATTGACAGCAAGATTTCTTTGCAACGCTTGATTGTTAGCCTGATTATTCTAACACACTATTCTCATACAGTATTTACTTATAAGCAGAGTTATAGTGACATGAAAGCAGTCGAGTTGGGTGCAGAGTTGGAACAGATTGTAGCCATACTGGTTAATCGTCTATTCCTGTCTCTTTATCCACATTAAGTTTATCTGACTTTTAAAATATAAACTAACTTTAGTACATGAAACATATGGTGCTGGATGAACTGTTTCTGATTTCATCTCCTTAGCTATTTCACCTGCTGATGTCAATTACGGTGAAACTTTAAGTACACTTCGCTATGCAAATAGAGCCAAAAACATCATCAACAAGCCTACTATTAACGAGGATCCCAACGTCAAACTGATCCGTGAGCTGAGAGCTGAAATAGCCCGATTAAAAGCCCTGCTTGCTCAGGGGAATCAGGTTAGCTTTACTTGGAATTTATGTGTAATTTTCCTTGAGTTATAACATCTATTTCTAGAATGTAATGGGATAATTATCTTTCATTATATTGATTTGAGTAAACAAGCTCCATGAGGCTATGAATGAATATTATTTTCCTGATTGAATCAGTTTCCATATGGCCAGCAGATTACCTCTTTTAACATAAGGGGGGAAGAATTGTCATCCAAAAGCTTTTAGGTTTCTCTTGATATAATCAGAGCTTGATTGCAGTGTGCTGTGGAACAGATAGTCACCACAGCATAAGGAGACTGAACTGAGACATGTTTCCTGGGTCTAACTTGATGAACTGAAGAGGTACTTTAGGTAGTACCTTAAAATAAATAGAAGGTTTCAAGTATTAAGGTGCATAAATATGAAAATGTAGGAGTATGGATGGGTTTGAACAATACATTTTATTTGTGTTTGGCTGCAGAGTCCATAAGAAGGCACATAACATGCTAAATAGGTAAAAATGGTGTAAGAAAACACAAATCATTCTGTGCTTCCCTTTTGCATGATTGTTTTTTTGCTCTGTCAGTATAAGCTGCTGTAAACATTTGCTGCACAGGCTCAGTTAGGTTTAGTTTCTCCTGTGTTCCCAGGATGGTGAAACCAAGCTTAACAATAAGGAATATGCAGTTGGCTCAGGCCAATTGTCTCTTCTACATAATGTCACTCAGGACTACTAGATTTAATACTTGAGCAAATACAATTTGGAAGTACCTGAAATTCAGATTTATTTCTAGAATTATCTAATTCTATTTTAGAGGGCTGTGTAATGTGAAATGTTAGTTCAGCATGGACTTTTTGTAATAAAGGCTAATACCTCAGCTGGATTTTGTGCTATAAAACATTTGCTGAAGAAGGGGATAGGACCACAGTTGGAAGCAGAAATAGGTATTGTAGATAATTGAAACAAAGAGCTCTGCTTTGTTATAAACAATTAGAAAATTCTTGATGGAGCTCAATTACTTGATTACACTTATGTTTCTCCCATATTTTTAGGAGAGGAAAGTTAATTTATTTTCAAATTATGGTTTGATTTAGAGTTAGCAAAGTAGATGTAACATGGACCCCTTTGAAGATATAATGCTTTGACCTAGTTTCAAGCTGTAAAACAGTGGATATCACAAAATAAATCTGGTTCAGTGGTAGGATGTGATAGATGGCTATGTGGGAGACAACAGAGAACTTGCTTAACTTAATTGAATTTGTGATGGTTGATAAAACAGCAGATGGTATGTTATGTATGCTCAGTAGAATATAAATCTCTGCATAATTTCTTTTGTGGTTTTCCTTTGTATTCCCAGAATGCTATATTGCAAATGCTTCTGTAGACCTGAAGATACTGATTACCAAAATATAGTGCTGGATTCAGTGTAGAAGGTCATATAACAATGAGTGCTGCTTGTGTGTGTGTGTTGTACAGTAGTTTTCCCTCTTTTAAGGCCAGTTACATTAACATATAGTTACTAAAGATAAGCAATATACATACATATTACAGCAAAATGGTTAACTTTTCATGCATAATAAATTTTCATGTTTAACAGAAATATAAAAAAAGATGTATCAAACCTTACATGTTATGAACGTGTGTCTGGTTTCAGTGTCTGCATGTGTGTGACCATATGTGTACACAGTGAGTGAAAATAGTACTCTCAAACCAATTTGTATTTAAAATATCTGCTTTGACAAGATTTTGATTATTCTTTTTACAGTATTTCAAAGTACAATGAAGTATATTAAAGTTTAAAAGATTTTATTCTAAAGAATCAAAACAAGTTGAACAATTGCATTTCACTTGATTCCCCCAGAAATTGTTCTTCTTCTTTCTTTTTGACTCGATGTTTACTTTTTCCAATTTTAGATTGCACTCTTGGATTCTCCGACAGCTTTAAGTATGGAAGAAAAGCTTCAGCAGAATGAAGCAAGGGTAAGTTATAATTTCATAAAACAGTTTTTTAAACAACAACAAAAAAAAGCTGGCAGTCTGGATGTAGGAGTGTTGTTAATTTTCAGGATTCTTTTTATGCACAACTAAGTTTTGTCCCATCAAACAGCATTGTCTTGATGCTTTAAAAAAAAAAAAACGTGTGTAAACTTGTGTCATGGTTTGAGAGCCCCAAAATCCAATTCCCTAGTCTAAGCCCCCTCTCACATCTCAACCCAATGTGAGGTGGGTTTTCCAGACAACCACACAAGACTCAAAATGGGGGAAAGGGAATATATATTACAATGACTGTACAAATAAATACTACAATACATTATATACAATCTTAGCTATCTCTACCATGACATAAGTATTTACAATGGATCAAATCTCTTCTCCCCTCCAAATAAAAGTCCAGGAGGGAAGAAGGAAAGATCCCTTCTTCAGAGCAGCAATGTCTCTAAGGCAGCAGGTCTCTCTGTCTCTGTGCAGCAGCTGTAACTGGATTATTGTAGCTGGATCTCTTTTCAATACACACAAGGGGGTCTCCAAGCCCCTTGGCCCGTCGTCTCCAAACGAGGGTCTTCAAGATACAAGGGGGTCTCCTTTCACCCCTCTTGGCTCTCCTTCGACTCCAAGCGAAGGTCTCACCCGTGGACTGCCAGCAGCGACAAAACTCGCTTCACCACAGGCATATCACGAGATGCAGGGGCATCTTCGTGAAAGTCCCTTCCTCAGGGGGTTCACCCCTGAGTCAGACCATCTTGGGCAGCATTCGGTTGAAAGTCTTTGCCTCAAGAGTTCTACCAGAGCACCTGTGCTCTGTCTCAGGCTGCTAGGCTTGGCAGCAGATGCGAGGGGGGGCCAAGGTCACCCCCTCTGCATTCCTTCTCTGTCCCGGTCCAACTTTCCAGGATGCTTTGAGCTTCTCAGCTCTTCTCTGCGGTGCATGTTGCACTTCACCCTTCCCTTCCAGGAGGTGAGGGGTCTCCAAGGAGTTTGGGGGGTTTTTGGTTTCAGTTCTTACCCCAAAACTCTCTCTCTCTCTCTCTCTCTCTCTCTCTCTCTCTCTCTCTCTCTCTCTCTCTCTCTCTCAATCTCTCTCTCTCAATCTCTCTCTCTCTCTCTCTCTCTCGGCTCTCTCTCTCTCCTTCCAGGAGTTCTCTCTGTGTGCTGCATGTCTGTTGTTTCTGCTGCTCGGTCTTATCTCTCCTGGCTCTCTGCCACCGTTTCTTCAGTCAGTGCAGTTCTGCTGCTGCTTCTGCTGCTCACTCACAGTGGAGAAAAACTTCTTTAGCTTTCAGCTACAGGTACCTAGCCCAGCCTTATGCTGTTCCAAGTCCCTGCAACCCCCTGCTGGGGGCTAGGGGGGGCCCAGCCCCCAGTGGGGCTGCTGCTGTTTCTCCTCGTGGCTCCTACAATGTGACTACTTCTTCAGCAACCAAACTACAACTACCTTCTCTTCCATTCTGAGTGTGATATGTTTATATTTTGCAGAAGCGCTCATTGGGTAAAACTTCAAAACTTCAAGGGTCACCACCCCCTGGGGTTTTACCATTTTATAACTGCAGGGGGAAAAACTGTTTCCCCCTACCACAACTTGTAATTTGTTATCCTACTAAGATAACATTATATCTAAGAACAAAGTATATCTTTGATATTTATATAACAGTTCTATTTCATGAAAAGAGTTTTTTCCCAGGACAGCTTGTCTTACTAAACAAGTATGTTTGTAGGTAGACTAGAGATGGAAAAGCCACTAAATCACAGTAATAAGTAGCAAGTTACAAAATATTCAGTGTGTAGAAAAACTAGTAAAGATTTGTGGGGAAAATAGTCAACTCTTCTATGCTTTCAAGTAATTAATAACTTGTGTTGTGGGTTTTTAAAAAAATTCAGTATTTAAGTCTGGTATGTGCAAATATATTTAGTGTCTAATTAGATGTCTTTTTTTGAAGAGGGTCTGAGATCTAGGTGCACTTAAAAGTGTGCTTCACACCAAATTGTTTCAATAATCCAGCCAAGTGTAGAGACTGGAAAAAGTTCCCAGAACTTTAGATAACTCATAGTGTCCAAAAGAATATAGATATAATGGTGCTCTCATTTAAAGCTACTGCAAACTGGTTTAAAAAAAAAAATAGTATTGGTCAGACTGTGGAAGAGGCAAGAGGGAGGTATTTGGAATTATTCAGCTACATGGCAGCAAAGATTTAATTCTGAATATGAAGATGCCAGTCAAGTGTAGATATGATGCCTTTAAAAAATGGGGGCTTCTTAGCTGGTTTAAATGGTGAGATTTACAGTGGTGCTACTTGCACCTTTAGAGTTAGAGAATTAATGTCTTGCTTTGGGAATCCTGTTTTATTTATATCTTTAGTTTTATTTTTGAGTACAAATGAAAAGCTTTTATCTAAGATTAGCTGAGGAATATAAACTGCTGACTGTATGCTAATTAGAGTATGTTATGCATGCTCTGACAGTAACCACAGCTTGCCTTGCTCAGAAATGTTGGCCTCTCTGTGTGGGGAGCATATCGAGCATATTTTATTATCTTTTGTCAGCCTCATTAAAAGGTTATGTGATTACTATTCATGATAATTACAATAGACATAATTACTGAAAATTCTTAGCGGATATTGTAGTAGTTATGGCTTTTTATAATTGAATGACTGCAATAATTAATTTGTTTATACAGATCTAAAGACTTTATCACCATATTTAAATTATCTGACAAGTATATGGTGACTTTCTTTAATGAGTTGATTTTCCTTATACAAGAATGATTTCAAATTGTTTAATTGAAAAATGTTTCTTTTTTAAAATGAAATTAAAAATGAAATGTTTCTGAGCAATGCAAATTGTTCTGATATGGTGAATAGACCTATGGTAGATCTTCATGTTTTTCTTTAATCTTATAAAATTTATTCTGTTTTACCATTCCAATTGGATGAGTGATAATGGTGTGTTGAAAGGTGTGCTTACTTGTCTTTGTTGAAATCTTCAGATACAGGTAGAGATGTGTGAAGTTTCTGTAGTTCTCATGGATTAGTTTGCAGTTGACCTGCAAAGACACTGAGCAAAGTAGGTGTGTGGCAAATGTGGAGATGTTTGGAGCAACTGGATTGAAGATTTCTTTTTTTCTACAGTGGTTTTATATGAAAGTTAACTTACGAGGTGGACAATGGGATGAGTAGGAAAGGAAGGACAAATCCTAACCATTCTGTTGACCTGACCTCAGTTCAGGGGAAGATCACGGAGCAGGTCATCTTGAGTGCCATCACTCAGTGTGTACAGAACAACCAGGAGAATCAGGCCCAGTCAGGAGGGTTTAAGAAAGGAGGTCCTGCTTGACCAGCCTCATTTCCTTCTATGCCAGGGTAACCTGCCTAGTGGATGAGGGAAAGGCTGTGGATGTTGTTTACTTGGACTATAAGTAAAGCCTTTGATTCTGTGGAGGAACTGTCTGCTTAGGGCTTGGATGGGTGCACTGTTTACTGGAGTTACGGTGAATGGAATTAAATATATTTGGCAACCGGTCACCAGTGGTGTTCCCCGGGGCTCAGTTTTGGGCCCAGTCCTGTTTAGTATCTTTATCAATGACCTGGACAAGAGGATCGAGTGCACCTTCAGTGAGTTTGCAGACTACACTGAGTTGGGTGGAAGTGTTGATCTGTTGGAGAGTAGGAATGTTCTGCAGAGGGATCTGGACAGGCTGGAGTAAAGGGCCAAGGCCAGTGGTCTGAGGTTCAACAAGGCAAAGTGCCAGGTACGTCCTGCCCTTGAGTCACCACAACCCCTGCAGTGCTCCAGGCTGGGGGCAGAGTGAGTGGAAAGTGGCCCAGCGGTAGAGGACCTGGGGGGGTGCTGGTCAACAGTGGCTGAACATGAGCCAGAGTGTGCCCAGGGGGCCAAGAAGGCCAATGGCATCCTGGCCTGTATCAAGAATAGTGTGACCAATGGGACTAGGGAAGTGATTCTTCTCCTGTACTCAGCACTGGTGAGTGCTGTGTACTCACACCTTGAGTCCTGTGTCCACTTCTGGGCTCCTCAATTCAGGAAGGACACTGAGGTGCTGGAGTGAGTCCAGAGAAGAACGACAAAGCTAGTGAAGGGTCTTGAGCACCAGTCTGATGAGGAGCAGCTGAGGGTGCTGTGGAGGCTCAACCTGGAGAAAAGGAGACTCAGGGGGAAACTTACTGCTCTCTACAGCTCCCTGAAAGGAGGCTTGTAGGGAGGTGGGGGTCAGTCTTCTCCCAGCTAACAAGTGATAGGACAAGAGGAAGCAGCCTCAAGTTGCAGTGCAGTGGAGGCTTAGATTGGGTATTAGGAAAAATTTCTTCATGGAAACAGTTGTCAAATGTTGGAATAGGCTGCCTAGGGAAGTCACTGAGGTATGTAAAAGATGTGTAGATGTAGCGCTTAGGAGGGATGTGGTTTAGTGGTGGGCTTGGCAGTGCGGGGTTAAACAGTTGGATTTGATGATCTTAAGGTCCTTTCTAACCTAAATGATTTTATGATTCTATACCCAGAGCTCCCAATGTCTATAATGCTTGTGCAAGCATCTTCTCACTTCTGTGCTGATGTCAATGAAGTGTGTGGTTTCTAAGTTACGGCAAACTTTGCTCTGGTTCTCTCCTGAAGGCTACTGGTCTGCCTCTTCCTCTGCATGCCATCCTCTGGAGGGAAGTTTAGCCTGTGCCATAGGAAGGGAGCTGTCCTGTTATACCTAAGGAATCAATCTGTGGCAGTGAACTTCGTAGTACTGCTGAAGCACTTTATGGAATGATTCCATATTTCTTTGAAAACCCATTATTTGGTGTGGCCATCCCTGAATGAAACATTTTATGCTGTAAATAAAAATTTTGTGTTTTGAGGGAGAGGTGTTGTAAGTATGGCAACTTATTGCAGGAGCAACAATGTTCTTCTAAATGTTAAACTATTAAACTTCTCGAAGAATTGCACCGATACTTAGTTCTTCTGTGAGAATGCATTAAGGATGAGATTTTTTTCAGTATTTGTTTTCTTTCATAGGTGCAAGAACTAACCAAAGAGTGGACAAACAAGTGGAATGAAACTCAAGATATTCTGAAAGTAAGGCAAATAAATAAATTTTCATCTTGGCATTTGAACTAGTCTTAGTGTTTTCCCTTAAAAAAAAAAAGTTCCTGTTCTAAGTCATCTTCTTTGCCTTAGCTCTTTCTGTTGTTCACCATAGTGACCCCACAGTGCAAAACAGATTCTAACAAATCTTTAAACTAATGAATGTTTTTATTGAGTTGCAAGTGAAGAAAACCTGGGCAGGGACAAGTGGATCCCTCATGCCCTTGGTATTTGTGTGGTATCAACAAGACCTGTGAATAATCACCTTTTATCTTACATTGGGTATCTCAGTGGATGTGGTGCATAGTGGATACAAATTTTCCATTGTACTGGTAAGATTTTATATTGGTATTTGGTGCATGATTAAAGTGATAGTCTGAGGTTATATTTTATTGGGCCATTTTATGATTCCGTACACACGTACAAGCACATTTGTGCATACACACACACACACACACAGATGAATAATTCCCACAACTTCTTTAATGTAAACTAATCTTTTTGCCAAAATGTTTTAACTATTCTGTTAAATAAAAATTTCAAAAAGAGAGCTTAAGCTTTCATGACTTGCTGAACATAAACTTGTTAGTAGTTTAAGCAAGTTAGTAGTTGAAGCAAGCATTTAGAAGGAATTTTTTTGGTTCTCCTTATCACTGACACAAAACTTGGTATTTTTTGGGTCACTTTCTGATTTCTTTACTTTTTCCTTTAAGTTCACCACCGTGTCTTTTATCTGACTTCCACATAAGTTGAATAGCTCCATGCTTAAAAATAAAAATAAAGCACTAATAGCATAGAGAACAGAGCAGGGTTGGTAACTACTTAGCAGATGGTGTGACAGAATGGACTGTTTAATGTCTGTCTAGATACTGAACTGGGAATCACCATTTGCATATTCATCAGAGATGTTTTGGGTCCAACTTCATGTTATTTCTGTGTTATTTTGTTATTTTGAACCATCTATACATATATAAAATTTTGTTAGTCCCCTCTTCATTCATGTCTGGATTGGGGAGCCCATTGTCACATGGAGAATTTGTGAATTTTGGTCAATTGTGGAAGTGAACATTATGTCACATTTGGGAAGTTTTAAAGCTGTATGTTGGAAATCCACTGATCCTTGCACAGAAATTACAGAATCAGAGGAGGTGTTAACTGAACAAGGCTTATAAACAAGGGAAAGCTGCATTTGTTAAATAGCTGAATGTAAAGGACTTAAGCAGAGAAACTGTAATTTCTGCTTTTCTAGTACTGAGATTTTCTTAGTTTAATTCATACAGCTTCTGTATGAATTACATCATATGCTGATCTTTGAGTGTATGAACGTAGCTTATGTTTCATTTTGGGGTTAAAGGCAGTTGGTATAACTTTCTTTGTCCCAAAAACCTGAAAATATGCAGAAGATTTCTTGGTTGTACTGTTTTATTTTACACCGTTTTACTGAAAGGATCCATATTTTTATTCACTTCTTGTTTAATGATTCTTAAAATTGAGTGGGAAAAGGCTTTTTGGAAGTTTGCCAACTGAGTCACTGGAAAGCAGATTTTAAACTGTGGAGAGCAGTGGTGTTCCTGTAATGGATTCCCTATAAGTTCACTGGGGGTTTTGTTTTGTTATTGATGTGGCCCCTGCCTTGCACACACAGACCGTACACATTGTTAATTTGTAAAAATGGGCTGTCTTGGCCCTCTTTGAGAAGTGAGACTGTCTTTGCATGTCCACCTCACTGCAGTCACACCTGCAACTTTGCCCATTCAGTAAATTTCAGGACATTCTTCCTTAAGGTACTCAGAACTTCATGTTTGTATTATAATTAAAACCTTCTTACCCTTGCCTCTCCCTGGATTTGCCATCCTGAGGTAGTTGCTGCCTTCCAGTTCCTGTCCTGCAGCAGTCTTGGAGAATTGAAAACCATTTGTTTCTCAGTTCCTAACACCTTTTACTCCAAATCTTTAAGGCATATGCCTGCCAGATGCAGGTGCGCTTGCTAATAGCTGAATGGGATTTCCTACTCTCTGTAATTATGCTTTTTTTTGTACTAAGTTCTAAATATCAAAGTTCACATGGTTTTGAATTGTTCTCACAGGCTAATGGGAAAATGTGTTAGTGTTTAAATCCAAAATAATTGAAAGGATTTTGCATAAGACTTGTAAAATACAGGAAGATTCATAGGACCTGCTAGTGTTTTTTAGTAGATCAACAGATACTGTTGGAAAAAGTTACCTGGTTTTTACTGAATACAGTGCTTTCATCAGGCAAAGATGCTTGGTAAAGAAATAATGCATACTGTTTCTCAGGGAAGATGTTTCTCAGACTTGTTCAGCCTTGCCAGTTATATTGAACCTTTTTTTAAATTAGACCATCAGCATCCAAATGCTGCCTTGCAAATAATTCATAGAGAATGGAAAATACTGTCCAATGAACAGAAAATACTGTGTGAATGCAAGTTTTTGATAAAAAGTATTTGACAGCTTAAAATTTAGTTATTTTAGTCATCACAGTGCCATGTGTACAACTGACATGTACATCCCAGTATTATTCCTTTTTTCTGCTTGTAGCTTTTATCCCCTTTGACATTTATTTGTATGTAGTTCACCCTAAGTTTCAGTTTTCTGTGCATCTTTAGACTAAATATAGTGATCTCTCCTGTCTGTAGATGTTGTCAGTTCTGGACTTTGGGGAAGGCACAGTGGCTGAAGGCCACTAGAAACTGTGAACATCTTGTATAATCCTCCATATATGCTGTTGGCAGATCGGGCATGTCTTGGGCTGGTGATGGTGGTATCGATAGTGTGCTCACTTTCTTTCATGCATTTGGAAGAAACCCTTTTGCTGGGAGACTGTCTGAGTTCCTCTGGAACAGTTGAATTACTGTCAACTCACACCTAAATCCCAGATTCTCCTGTTTTCTTTATTAGATTAGAACACTGTATACGTCAGGGTTTTAAATTTTTGTTGACTCTGTGTGAAGGATTCATTGCATGGCAGGTTCTTGGCATTGCTGATGTGCCTGAAGTGACAAGTGTTGCTTCCAGTGGTGATGTTTGTTTTTGTCCTTGACCTTCTCACTGCAATATGACGTGACACGCTAACCTTACTAACCTAGTATTACAATCTGTCCCCATCCTTGCTTTTAATCAAAGCAAGGATATTTTAATGCTTAATCAAGTCAATAAATATGTGGACTAATGCTTCAGCATTGTGTAGACTACTGCATAAAATCCCAAAGTGATAGTGTTTGGTTTTAAACCCACAGGCTTGGGGTTATTTCCTCAAATGTCAGCCAAGGATTTCACCTTACAAAACAGCAGCGCTTTGCATTGCTTCTCTATCCTCAGGTGTCTTGCAACCTCAGTACTTACCTGTAGGATTTTGCTTTCATCTCAAACTCATTGAATCTTTTTATGAATTTTTTTTGCCTTTGGTTCACTTTCTTCTGTACACGTTCCCAAAAAGAAGAGGAGGAGGGGAAAAAACCTGTTTGCTCTTTTCCTTAATTTAGTCCTTTTTGTATGGTTCTGTTAAAGATCAATTCTGGGGTCTGTAATTTCTTTGGATGCCTTCTAAGATGTTAGGGTAACCTATCCAACTTTTGATTTTTCTCTTGCTTTGAGGCTTTAATTGGTATAAAACCTCTTTTGATGTAGCTGCTATATTTGACTGCATGTGTTGTCATTCTCCTAGAGATCTTTTTTCTTTTACTGTCACCTTATTTTTGTCATCTTTTGTGCATGTTTCAATTTCTTTCTCTAACCTTTAGCACCCTTTATATTAGTCTTTTTTAAATGTGCACTCCTTTACATAATTTACTGCTGGTTTTTCTTCCCAACTTTCTTTTAAATTTCTTCTCCCCTTTTCTGTTTGTGTAGAAATCTGTTTGACTTTTAGCTTTTACCTTTTTGATGCATGTCATTTGTAGCTAGAATAAAGGTATTTAAATGCTCTTTTTTATTTATTTTTAGTTTGAAGTAGATTTGGAGTTCCGTTTTATTTCCTTATCCTGTTTTTTGATTCTGATCATGTCATTAGCTTTGTGTGTCAGTGCTCAACAGATGTCAAAGGATGCAGAGAGATCTGTCTTCAGAGTCTATTAAAGGACAGGGTCTTTTCTGTGTATGTGTGTCTAATTCTTGTGATCAATAGTTTAACTAGTCACTGCTTCAACTGGTTTTGTCCTGTTGGATTTAGTGACACAGCCTCACTTTCATCAATAATACTAATTCTACTGCAGCTCTTTACCCCATGGTGTGTAAATATCTTATTGAGCACTGTTTATTTGATCTTTTTCTTTTTTATGCCCTTTGGTTGACTACTGCTTAATAGTAAATTTTTATACCTTAAGAATGGTTGTTCCTACCTGGGGAAGAAAAAACTGTATGTTTATTTTCAAGCGTTAAAATCTATTGTTTATATCTTGCCTCGTTCTGCGGGGGAATGAAATACCCTTAACTTGCCATGATGAATAAATACAGACTAATACCAAAGAGTTATTTTGGTGGACATAAGCAGGGGAGTTTTCTTTCTTTAGGAATCTTGGCTATACCCAGCAAAGACACCAGGAGACCGAAACTCTCTTTATGAGGTGTTGATTAGAGTGGCAGAAGTGAATAGATTTTGATTTTAATAATTTCGTTTCCCTGATGGCTTGCATACCGTAGTGAACTCTGTCAAGAGCTGTTTGTCCTGTTCTGTATAAATGCTCCATTTGTCTACATTTATTTGCATTTTCAGGTAATCTTTAAACCACAGTTGCTGAATGGTATTTAAGCACCATTATCTGGGTCCTTCTGCTTGAAAAGCTGGGCATACATCACCATTTTCCTGTTTTATGCCTTTTTGTTACTACGTATTAACCCTGACTGGCTTGTCCTCTTTTCCTCTTCTCACTTGGGTTGTGTTCTACCCCAGTACGTTGCCCTTCGATGAGCATTTGTTTTCTTCATTCTTTCATGTCTTTGTTTTAACAAGCTCAGTCCTCAAGGTGATAAGTG